GTAAGAAGACCCAACATCCAACTTGGAGTTTGTTCACTGTCGCCTTAACGCGGAGGTTTGGGGGATTAAACAGGGGTTTCGTTTATGAGAAATTGGCCGCTGTAAGACAAAGGGGAAATGTCAACGAATATATACAGGAGTTCGAATTCCTGGTGGCACAAGCAGCTGGAGTAAATGAGGAACAATTATTAGGATATTTTTTTGTTGGATTGTAGGAAGGATTGAGAAATCTAGTGAGGCCTTACGATCCACGCGATCTGTTGATAGCGATGGAGCGAGCTCGCGATGTCAAGCAGGTGAGTTCTGTATCGCGAGGTAATAGTGGAACGGGAGGAAAAGGAGGGACGGCTTGGGGAAGATATGCTCCGAGTTCAGGTACTGTCGCGAGGACGGAAACCTATCGTGGTTCGACGGAGGGGTCAGCGAACGCTGGTGGCAGGTCGGGAATGAAGAAAGAAGGTGTTTCCAGCAATTTAGCCACCCGAGCAGGCAATAACGGAGGAGGGAATGCTCAGGGAAGAGGAGTCAGGACCCTGCCTTATCCTGAATACATTAAGAGGCGCGAAGAAGGGTGTTGCTTCCATTGCGGAGGTCCTTACAGCCCGGGCCATAGGTGTGCGGAAAGGAGTATGAGGGTGATGATTTTAGCAGAGGAAGATGAAGAAGAGGTTGAAGAGAAGGTCGAAATGGAGCAAACAAATATGGAGTTGTCGGTTTTCTCTGCAGGAGGATTGACACAATCTAATACCATGAAGTTACAGGGTTGGGTACAAGGAAGGAAGGTTTTCGTATTAATTGATAGCAGAGCTAGTCACAGCTTTATAGCCACCAGATTGGTGGAGGAATTGGGGTTGGAAAGCATCAATACACCTCCTTATAAAGTGTGCTTGGGAGATGGACAGAAGAAGTTGGCCCGAGGGTGTTGTTTGGGAGTCCCAGTGACACTGGAAGGTCTGGAAGTCAGAGATAAACTGTATCTCTTTGAGTTGGGTGGAGTGGATGTGATATTGAGAGTAACGTGGTTAGCTTCACTGGGAGAGATTAAAGTGGACTGGGGAAAACTCATTATGAAGGTGGAGCAAGGAGGGAAGGAGATAGAGATCAAAGGGGATCCTACGTTGACACGTCGTGTAGTGACTCCAGAAGCCCTTCTCAAGGAAAATGGAATTGAAATAATGACTCTAGTGTGGAGTTTAAGTAACACATAATTGATGGAAGGGGAGGCAGAGGAGAGCGTTTTAACTCGAGATGAAGAGGTGGTGCTGAGGCGAATTTTGAGTGACTTTGAAGAGATATTTCAAGATCCTCAAGGGCTGCCACCAGAAAGAAGAGTAGATCACAGAATTCCTCTGAAGGAAGGTACTGAACCTATCAATGTAAGACCTTATCGCTACCCTCATGGGATGAAAACGGAAATAGAAAGGCAGGTGGAAGAGATGTTACAGTTGGGTCTTATTAGACCCAGTAATAGCCCCTACTCTAGCCCGATAATTTTGGTGAAGAAGAAAGATGGGAGCTAGAGGTTTTGTGTAGATTATAGGGCATTAAATAGAGTGACCGTGGTTAATAAATATCCCATACCAGTTATTGAGGAGTTGCTGGATGAACTTCAGGGAGCATCCTATTTCTCAAAAGTGGATATGAAGGCTGGCTATCATCAGATTAGGATGAGGAGTGAAGCTATTCATAAGACTGCCTTTAGGACACACCAGGGCCATTATGAATTTCTAGTTATGCCTTTTGGGCTCACAAATGCACCGGCCACTTTTCAAGACATGATGAACTCGGTTTTAAGACCTTTTCTGAGACAATTTGTATTGGTGTTCTTTGATGATATTTTGGTCTATAGTAAGACATGGGAGGAGCATTCACAACATCTAGTGCAAGTCTTGAAAGTGTTAACTGAAAACACACTCTTTGCCAACCCGAAAAAATGTGAATTTGGCAGAAGACATGTGCATTATTTGGGACACAAAATCTCGGCAGGAGGAGTGGAAATGGATAGAGAAAAGAATGCAGCAGTGTTAGACTGGCCGGAGCCAAAAAGTATCAAAGAATTGAGGGGGTTCTTGGGATTGACTGGTTATTATAGAAGATTTATCAGAGACTATGGGAGGATGGCAAAACCCCTTACTGAATTGCTCAAAAAAGGAAAATTTAAGTGGTCCGCAACAGGAACCGAAGCTATGTAGCAGCTCAAAGAGGCTGTAACTACAGCTCCGGTGTTGGTCTTACCTGATTTCAATCAATTGTTTTGTGTGGAGTGTGATGCTTCAGGTTCGGGGGTGGGAGTTGTGTTGTCACAGAACAACAGGCCCATAGCCTTCTTCAGTAAGGCTTTGTCCGAATCCTCTCTTGCTAAGTCCATCTACGAGAAAGAATTGATGGCTTTGGTGCTTGCTATCCAGCATTGGAGGCCATATTTAGTGGGTCAGAAATTTGTTGACTACACCGATCAAAGAAGCCTAAAATATTTATTGGAGCAGTGCATTACTACTCAAAGCCAGCAAAATTGGCTAGCTAAATTGTTGGGGTACGAGTTTGAAATTAAATACAGAACGGGAGCTTCAAATCATGTGGCAGATGGTCTCTCTAGAAAAGGGGGCGAGTGGGAGGAAGAAGACAAGGTTCTACATCTGATATCCATACCCTATTGGACAAATTTTCAGGAAATCATGGAAGAAGTGAAGAAGGATGCGGCTTTAAAGAAAGTGATGGAAGACATACGGGCAGATCCGAACCCCCATCCTGCTTATACCCTAGAACATGGGAGATTACACTACAAGGGGCGGCTGGTTTTATCAGCACAATCCTCCTCGATACCGCAATTATTGGCAAAGTTCCATAACACGGTTACCAGAGGGCATTCCGGTGTCTATAGGACTTATAGAAGGGTGGAACACTCTTTATATTGGCCCGGAATGAAGAAGACAGTCACCGACTATGTGGCTGCCTGCCTTGTATGGCCGGAGCATAAATACTTAGCATCCTCACCACAAGGTCTCTTGCAACCATTACCTATTCCAACAGCTATGTGGGAGGATATAAGCATGGATTTTGTGGTAAAGTTACCTAAATCTCAAGGCTTTGACACTATATTAGTGGTGGTGGACAGGCTCAGCAAATATGGGCATTTCATTCCCATTAAACATCCGTATACAGCAAGATCTATAGTTGCAGTGTTTGTGAAGGAGGTGATTAGATTACATGGCATACCTATGACCATTGTAAGTGACAGGGACTCAACATTTTTTAGTATATTTTGGCAAGAGATTTTTAAATTACAAGGCACACAACTTAGGATGAGTATTGCTTACCATCCAGAGACAGATGGACAAACGAAAGTGTTAAACAGGGTGCTAGGAACCTACTTGTGCTGTTTCAGTTCAAAACAACCCAAGAGTTGGAGTTTCGTGTTGCCTTGGGTGGAATACTTGTATAATACCAGCTATCAGGTGGCCTCTAAGTGCACACCCTTTGAAACAGTTTATGGCAGACTTCCCCCCACACTGACACGTTTCATTCCGGGGGAAACAGTGGTAGAGGCAGTCGCTCAAGACTTGCAGACCCGCGACGAGGCTTTACATCAACTTAGATATCATCTGTCCAGGGCTCAAGCACAGATGACATACTATGCCAATAAGAAGAGAGTGGAGGTACATATCAAGGAAGGAGATTGGGTATTTTTAAAAATCATACCTCATAGGCAAACATCTATGCCTACAAGACTCCACCCGAAGATCTCCGCAAGATATTATGGTTTGTTCCTCGTGGAGAAAAAAATAGGTCCAGTAGCCTTTCAGCTGCAATTACCAGCAACGTCCAAAATACACCCTGTCTTCCATGTGTCTCAGCTGAAGTTAGCTATTGGAACGCATATAGTTGAGGTGATCTTCCTAATGAACTGCAGGATGACAGTCCTCAATATACCCCGGTGAAGGTGCTGCAGCGCAGGAACCAGAAATGCCAAGGGGAGGAGATACCTCAAGTCCTCATACAGTGGCAGGAGAGTGGTGTTGAAGGCGCTACTTGGGAGGAGGAGCACTATATCAAACAGCAGTTTCATAACTTCAACCTTGAGGACAAGGTTGATGTTGGGGAGGAGGGTAATGTTAGGCAATTAAAGGTGTATGTGCGAAAGAATAAAAAAGAAGGAAATAAGTAGCGGGTAAGGTGGTTAGTTGTTAGAAGAGAGAGAGGGAGTATAAATAACAAACAGAATAGGAGAGAGGGGTAGCAGATATTTTACTTTTGGGAATAGACTGGCATTTTCCAGTGGAGGAAGGGAGGCTTCCTTGGGGATACTTACCTGTAAATTCTGTTCTTCCATACTTTATAGAATTAATGAAATACATATACATTCATCTCTTTTTCTATTGTTACAGTGTTGTGAGAGAGGAGATTCATCTGTTAAGGTTCCCTGCATAAAGGAACCTAACAAAGTCCTACATCGACTTGAGATAAGGCCAATTCATAGTTTATAAGTGGGTGCAAACCTAACCCTACAAGCCAGTTTTGTGGGGTTAAGTTAGGCTTAAAGTTCATTACTAACATGGTATCAGAGTCATGGTTAGAGTCTATCCTATCGATAATTTGTTGTTTGTTGGGCATATTGTTCCACCCACTATCGGGCCGCTATCGGATCACCCATTAAAAATGTCTAATCCCAAGCTCAAGATGTATATACCTCAGCGTGAGGAGGGTGTGTTAGAAGTCCCACATCGACTAGAGATAAGGCCAATTCATAGTTTATAAGTGAGTGCAAACCTCACCCTACAAGCCGGTTTTGTGGGGTTGAGTTAGGCTTAAAGTCCAATTCTAACAAAAAATCTAAAACAAGTATTCTTACCCGATGTTGTAAAAGTCAAGATTTTAGATAGGATCAGGAGCGAAGTCAAAAACTCTAAATTGTAAAAAACAATATGAATCGTAAGTTCCTACTAAAAAACTAAAATTATACTTGGAGATAAACTAATGCATAGAAAAATAAAAGGTTAAATAAGTTTTTGGTTTGGTAGCTTCAAAATATTTTCAGTGACTTTTATACTCAACACTTAATAAATATGCTAATTTGGTTCTCCTTGTAACTTTACTACTCTTTAATCGGTACTAACTCTGGAATTTGGTATTTAACATGTAATAATTTTAGTAAGATATTTGCAATTACGCTAACATGTGACATTCAAGATTGGTATGTCAATATAGTTAATTCAAACTACCAGAATAACTATCATGACCAAATTAACATATTTATTAAATGTTGGATATCAAAAACACTGAATATTTTGGAGATATCAAAAACTTATTTAATTATGCTATAGCTGCTCCAATCAAACAATTCTGGGATTGAGCTCCAAGATTCCACTACAATTTCAGAACCAAACAGTTATGTTTGCAATTGACTAGAAATGCAGTAGAAAAATAGCATGCTTGTGCAATGTCACTTCTAAACTCATGACATTAGCGTGGCCCTTACCAACCTCGTCTAACACTTTATGGGAAAGTGATGTGAGCAGTTCACCTTTACTTCAAGTCCCAAACACAGGCTTTTAAGTGGACCATGTAGACTTTTAAATGAAATCATTCTTTAACAATAGATTTAAGGTGGTATTGAAATGTTTGCTATATATAAATGGTCCATACCTGACCCCAACCCTCCTTTCCTCAAGCCCCTCCATAAGACCATATATGTAATTATTTATCATATCACCATTCAAGACATTAAACCCAACTAATATGACCAAAAACCAGCAGATGTGGTTGAACTAAAATTGTAAGCTACCATTATAGATGTTTCTTTGTTAAGCTATTTACCACATTTAAGCCACAATCATAACCAAATTCACAAGCATCAAATTATCATTAATCTGTTTTACCTAAATATGACATCAGCTTAACTAATTCCATTATTTTGCGATATCAGCCTCACCTAGAAATCTGTAACACATCAAAGTCTGTCCTTAACTAGACCTGTTATACTCTCTAAAGAAAAAGAAGGATGATAAAGCAAGCTTTTATGCCATTACAATGCAGCAACACATTAAGACGTTTAAAAAGATACAATATAAATTTTAGGGGTTAAATAAGTTTTTTGTTTCTCCAAAAATTGACCCTTGTTGAAATTGGTACCTCAACTTTTTCAATGTTTATGATACTCAACATTTAATAAATAAGCTAATTTGGTCTAAGAGTAACTTTATTACATTTTAATAGGTGTTGACATGTAATCATCCTAGTAAAATATTCGTAGATGTACTATCACGTGACACTGTCAAAATTAACATGTCAACACTCTTAATCCAAAATATCAAGAACAAATTAGCAAATTTACTAAATGCTGTGTATCAAAAATACTGAAAAAAATTGGATGTACCAATTTCAATACAACACAGTTCTGAAAGAACCAAAAACTTATTTGACCCTCTATACATACCCACACACACACACATATATATAGTTAAATAGGTAAAAGAATTTAACAGAATAAATAAAATAATAATAATAATAATAGAAAAAGTATAGTAAGAATACCCCTTCCAGCTTTTCAACTTGTGTAAAATGGCGGCCAAACGATGTGTACCGATTACCATATAGAACAGGTGCAAGATATACTTTCAGCTTATCCTACAGAATAATCATTTAATATAGCATTGTCAACTGAACGGAATCATTTGTGCTACTCTAAAATCACACAATTGTGTATTATAAATGAAAAGAAAAAGTTCAGGAAACAATTTATTACATAAGATATGGAACAAGACATGGCTAGCACATGTTAAGACTAAAAAAACAATGAAAGAATATCATACGATAAGACATACTAAAGAGGAATGAATAATCCCTAGAATTTTGTTTGAAAAAAAATTAGCAGACTACCTTCCACTTAAATATTTGGTTAAGAACATCAGGACCACAAACAGCTGCAGCATCCCGAACATTGTGCCCACCCTCTAGCATCCTTAGAGCTGTTCGAACAGCCTGAATATAAAAGACAGAATAAATAAGCTCCAAACAAACTGTGAAACAAACACAACTACATATGGTAAGATATATACCTCAACTGAGCCTTCCAATTTCCCCAACGTAATGGTTTTCTCCACAACATTTTTCAATGAGTGGGTATGAGTACTAACAAAATTGTGCTCTTTTACAACATCCTCCAAAGTAACTGATGAAGTAGCTTCTTTAAACATAGCCACCAATCTACATCACAAGAAATCATATCAACAAATATCATCATAATTAACCACAAAAATGGCTTCCGAGTTTCAAACAATAATCCAATAGAATTAATACAATGGAAAACACAATAAAAAAAGGGGACAAGGTAAAAGAAAATGAAGAAAAATAACCATTTCAGAAGTCAGATAAAAAATATTCACCTCCTCTCTGCATCTTCATCTAATGAGGGTAACGCACTACTCAGCTTTTTAGTAGGCTTAACATGCCGGGAATTATTAGCTACATTATTAACCTTATTACCAGAATTAATTTGCTCAGAACCATTTTGCCAAAAGGCAAATAATTTTGCACCCAATGAGGACTTATTTTCTGCACCCTCAGACTTTCTGGTTTCCTTTGGGACTAATGGCCTCTTACTTTCATTCAAACCCCTTCTTGATGCCTCATTTGTTTTCTTCCTTGAGATATTTGATCCAGAAATCTTTTCAGACTTCTTGTCAACCACTTTTCCAGAAGACACTTTACCAGACAGTTTATTAGAAAATTTCAAAGCAGCCTTTTTGTCAATTAAACTTTCAGAGACAGTGCTGTTCTTGTCCAATATAACCCTCTCTTTGTTTGCAGGCTTTTCATTGTCCTCATCATTAACTTCTCGAACAGAAGCTTTTACATTGGGAAACTTTATATGATCCCTTAGAGGAGTCCCAAATTCATCATCAATCTCATGTTTTCTGTTTCAGAAGAACAGAAAAAGATATTACAAGACATTTACAAGTAAAAACTGGAGAACAATAGCACCAGTACACTGTAACACTTACAAACAATATATAAGAATGCGATTGTTGGGTAGAAGGTCTTCCCAAGCCCTTGTTACAATATCTTCATCCTCTATGTCATCAAATGCAATCTTCCTGATATAAGCAACAACTTAAGAATCATCCTTCCATACATTATAATCATTAAATAAGTACAAGCAACACAGGCAAAAACGAATGATATAACCTTGGCAAGCATTTGCGATGGTAGGACTTGGGGCAACGCCTACAAACAGCAAAGTGAAAATCATGTTCGTTTTTGTCTTCCATTCCTTTACAGACACAACAGTAATGAGTAGGACAAGTAAAAGCTCCTCCTTCAGCAATATTTCTCTCAAGTTCCTTCGGATCTGGAGCCTCCTCAACTACCCGGTGAAGTAACTTTGCAACACATTGTGGATGATAAAAGAAACCACAGGTTGCAGACGCACATTTGAAGACCTAAAGGAGAAAATCCGAATGACTTTTAGTCCCATACAGAACAAAGAAGATCTAGGAAAACCCTCCTATTTAAAAAAGTGATGGTTAGTAGTGGTGCATCATAGCATGTTCAGTGTGCTTTAAGGGTACTTATGTCTTCAGCACTCTGTATTGTAAAATGTACTAAATTATACTGAGGCCAGTTTACTGCATATACAACTTTACCTATTGGCCATAGCATGCTCATTGGGAGGATTTGTATGGCATAAGTGACACCCAGCCCACCCAGATATACAGTATGTAAAGAACATAAACAATGCAGTACATAAGCAAATAACATAACCATATTTTTTTAAAATAATTTGTAAATCTTATATAGTCTAATTCTATCCTATAAAATGGCTTATAAGGATGAGGGTTGCCCCCATTTCTATACTCTTTTTGAGACTCTATTTATAGTCAATGTAGGACACAGATTTTTCCCAATGCAGCCCCCTTACATCCTCCACTAACAGGTTCGGTGCATGGAAAATGTCAGGTGAGACTTTCCAATGGACATTAAGATAAACTCTAATAATATCTTAGAATTTGGACTAGGACTTTGGTTACCTTAGCTGCTCCACACATACATTCTTGAGTCTTATTGAGTGTCTCCAATTATGCAACTGGCTTATCTAGCAGCAGGAGGAACATTTCATCTTCAGAATCATCTTTCAGACTCAACCTGATTAAGCTAAAATCATTATCCAAGTCCCAACCCAAATTCTATAATGGTATTACAATCTATTCTTGATCCATCAAAAAGGATCACCTACCATATTATTATCTATGCCAACTATAGCCAACACCTCCATGTTAATGAACACGTACTAGCTTCTTTAAGAGAATAATCATTTTTTTTATTTTTTGAAAAGTCAGTTTAAATATAACAAATAGTTAAAATCATGCCTCTTGCTTTTTTTAGGCTCCTTATCATAAAAAAAATTTTAAAAAAAAAGCCTATTGAATTGGTTTGAGAAGGTGAATATATCTTTATGAAAAGATATAACTTTATCTTCTTATTTTGAGATTTTTTTGAAGAGACCAATTTTGTTCATTTTATGATGCCTCTTTATATTCATTTGAGGGTCATTGTTAAGGTTTTTTAAAGAACAGAAAAGATTAAATGAAGACTCAAATGGAATATAGGTGATTTTTATTTTCTGCTGAATAAGAAAATCAGTAAGATATGAATATCTCACTGCCCAGAGCCAAGCTCCTAAGAGAAACCAAGAATGGCTCCCTCTCTACTGAAAAACAAACTAACCATCCTCCCAAAACTTCCTTCCTGATTCTTTTAAAACAACCACACCCCTTTCTCTCTCTCTTCTAACCAATCTATTCCTCACTACTATGCCACGTCACTCTTCCTAGTCTTTTTCCTCTCATACTCTGCCCCACCTGTGCTTGACTTTTTCTTCTTGGATCAAGGGCTCATTGAACCTACTCTCAAATTCCAAACTCAACCCAACAATTGACTTGCTGAACCTGATTCATGAACCAAATAGGCTGAAGTTGAGTAAAAAATTGAGCTCGTTAAATAAACAAGCCAAACTGAATAATGTATAGTTTGACTCAAATGGTTCACTAACCAGCACAAAAGATGTATTAAATAATACATGTATACTACTATATTTATATGACTGATTTCAAATTAATTATACTATTTCTATGACTACTATAGTTATATGACTGATATCAAATTAAGTCGGGCTTCAAGCCTAATCAATTTGTATCAACTCAACCTTAGTTCAACGCAACTCAAATCCAAACCTAATCATAACAAAAACGTGAATATACAAGAAAATACAAACATTGATTATCATTTAGACCTTTCGTTAGATTGTTCTTACTTCATGTTATTTGAGTTTCCCTCTCTCTCTCTCAAATCCTACATATATTAGGAAATGTATCTAGTTAGAGAGTAATCTTTTCATGTGACAATGAGGGGAATAAATTTTAAGTAGTTATATAACATTAAAACTTAATCATCCATGTAGATTTACTCTTTTCATTCTAACATAGAAATGTCAATCTCACTGTATATGACCGCTATGTGTGTATTCATGTGTACCACATGTCTGGTGCCATAGTCCGTGCTTCATAGCATGAAAATGCACTTAGGTATCCTAATGATATTCAGTTTCCAAAAGCTACCACAAACCCCATCATCAAAATCTTACATTAGAAGTGGGAGCAAATATGCCAAAAGCTATTTCTCCTAGAAACAGAACTGACAAAAAGTATGTCTGTGTATATATATATATATATATATATATATATATATATATATCAGATAAATAACCAAGGATTGTATGGCACTTCGTACAATCATGAAAAAAATATATAACAATGAAATAATCAACAATATGAGCCAACTGTGTTTCACATAGTGATACCTCAGCACCAGAAAATTTATCAGAGCAGCCTAGAGTACCACATGCAAAGCACTGATGTTGATTATATTCACAATTCTTACAGTAGAAGTTCTGGATATCCTGCAAAATTTTGTCACAAGCAATCAAATTTCAACCAGCACACAATGAAAAAGTTAAAAGGAAAAAGAAAAGTTGAATAAACATAAGCAGAATATAAAATTTACATACATCAACTTGCTTCTGGCTAAAACCAAGAGAGGCACAAGCAGATTCTTCACCATCCTCCTCATTAGCATGAAATGACCTCATGCACTTTCCATCACAACTGCATTTATCATTTAATAACTTCAAAATTAAAAAAAAAAAAATCATTGAGGCAAGTAAAACGTATACAATAACATGTAGAAATTATGTAAAATAACCTAAATACTACGCAGAATAAAGAAATCACACTAGATTAAAATAACACGCACAGAAAGAAAAAAATATACCACAAAAGTTCGCCACCATTGTCACAAATCGCACAAACAGAATCAAACAACCCATCCTCCCCATCTGAATCATCATCAATTTCATCAATCAAATCATTGTCAGTATCGTCAGTTATAAATCCAGGTCGTGCTAAATCTTTAACTTCCTGAAATCAATAAAATAATATTGATAATATAGCAAAATATATGGCATAAATAAAAGCAAGTAGCAGAAGACCATATTTCAGAAAAAAAAAAAATAGCTTCGAAGAAGGAAAACTAAATATCTAACAAACCTCATCAGAAAGTTTCTTAATCTTCAGCTTATGTTTATCTTCCCGAACCATGAGGAAAAGCTGTATAAATCAAATAATTGTCACTGAAGTGAAACACAAATGTTGATAAGAAAACAGGAGAAGAAATCAATATTATTTTTAGAAAATAATATATTAAGGATTAATCCAAAAGGGCAAGCCAAAGGATAACTAAATCCTTATCTTTATCCATATAACAAAACAAAGGAGAGAGCTGAATACTAAAGGAACAGCTAATTTTATCAGCACACAGTAAATGCATCATCAATAATTAAATACAATTTATGAAGGATCGCATATTAAGAATATGAAAAAGAATATTAAATTACTGAAACAGCACGAAAACAAGGAAAGATTTATAAAATAATCAGAGCTGAAGAAACTACCGCTGCACTATAGTACACAGCATGATAAATCAGTATTGAAATCATACATCAGAATATTGCATGAAAACCACTACATAAACTCCATGTTCTTAACCTACAAATCTTAAAATACCATCTATTATATCAAATAACAAGAAAAATCAAGTATTACTCTCCTGAAACTAAGAAGTATTACATGTCGGCCAATGTCACATTCTTTGAACAAACTCCTTACTTCTCTCCATCTATTCAGGATGTTTCTATCCTCCAGCAGGTCCTTCCTATTCCAATGGCTGAGTCAAATAGCTCCACTGTCTCTGTCATTCCAAATCTTGATCACAATCCTTCTACACCCGTTTCTCCACATACTGAGATCATCCCACACAGAGCCCCAATGGATAGTTCACCTCCCCAAGACAATGGTGAATCTCCTACTTCAGATTCTTCTCCCTCATCACCTCCTCCCACGCCTCCTGGTGCAAATGATTCAGCATGACCTATTGCCCTCAGAAAAGGTACTCGTTCCACTCGAAACCCTCATCCCATTTATAATTTTCTAAGCTATCATCGATTGTCGCCCTCCTATTTTTCTCTTTTATCCTCAGTGTCCTCTGTTGTTATAC